AGGGGACAGGGAGGGGCCGGGGCCCAGGATAGCTTGATGCCAAGCTCACTTTCCCAAGCGGGCCTTACCGGTGAATAGGAACAGCAGGGTCCAGCCGAGCTGTTCCCAGTCACCACCAGCAGGCCTGGGGATGCCTCCCGATAAGACACCCGGGTCTGAACTGGCCCTGAACGCCAGGCCCCGCAAAAAAGCGCTAGCCTTAGGAACCCGCGCCAGGGAGTCCTGGGAGTAGCCACCGCTCATCTGCTCCTGAGGAGACGGTATCCAGGCCCCTCTGGCGCATCTGCCCGGCCCTCTGCTCCTTGCCCTCTACCACCCCGGCAGGCGTGCCGACCACGCGAGCAGCAGGTGCAAGACGCGGGGGTGGCACTGAGATGACACAAAACCACACTCGCCCCCACCTCCCAAGCCCTGCCGGCCTCCGCCACTGCCCTCCTGCCACCCCAGGCTGGCGCTTCCGTCGGATAGAGATGGAGGTGGAGGGGCAGCCAGCTGCCCGCCTCCCTCAGACCGAGGGGCGGGAGGCGGCGCCGGGAACGTCCTTCCTCGCTCGTCCACGGCCTCCAGGGAGCATGGGCCCCCCAGGACAGCCCTCCCGCCAAGGACGCGGCTCCGCAGTGGCCCGGGCGGGGGCCGAGCCCGGAGGCCGCAGCCCCCCGCCCCGCCCAGCCCAGCCCAGCCCTCCGGCCCCGCACGGCGCTCTCGCCAGGCCCCGGCGCCCGCCCGGCGGCGGCCTGGCTGTGCGGTCCCGCCCCCGGCCCCGCCGCGCTTACCCGGGGCGCTGCAGTCCGCACACACCTCCGCTCGCGGCCCCTTTCGGGACATCCTCAGCGGCGACGCGGCCGCAGCCCTCTGGGCCAGCGTGGGGGGCGCGGGCGGCGGGCCCGGGCGGCGGCGGCGGCCCCTGCTGCCCGGCCCGGCTCCGGCGAGGCCCCGGCGAGGCTCCGCACGCCCGGCCAACCGTCCGCCCCGGGGCTGGCCCGGAACCCGCCGTGCCCGCCTGCCCGCTCGCCCTCGGGCGCCCTCCGCCCCGCGCCGCCCCGCCGCCGCTCGCGACTCCTCTCTCCGCCCCCTGCGCGGCTCCGGGCCGCTCCTGCAGGAAGCGGCGCAGGCCCTGCCCACCAGGGGAGGGGCCGCACCCCCGCCCCGCCGCGCGCTCCCGGCCGCGCCCCCTAGAGAAAGGAAGCCCGGGCGCGGGCGGGAGGGGGCGGGGGCGCTTAAAGGGGCCGCGGCTAATGCCCGGCCCCGGCGGGCAGCGGGGCCTGCGGTCCTGGCCTCCGCTGCGGCGCTTGCCTGGCCCGGAGGCAATGTGAGTCACCCTCACAGCCCCCTCCCCTTCACTTTCCGCGTGGGGTGGCCCGGGGGACGCTGGGCCCAGGGACGGCGAGGGCGGGGATTAGGCAGGAAGGACTTGGAGGCCCAAGTCCCGCTCCAGGTCAAAGGGGCTGTGCCTTGGGGTACCCTTCTATCTCTGGTTGGGGTGAGGTGTGCGTCCCGGTCCTGTAGGTGTCCACATCTGTGTGTCCAGGTGTGTGTGCGTGTGTCACACTCTTGCTGAATACGCTCATTGCCAACAATATGGACGCCCAGGTGCTAGAAAGGTCAGGCAGTGTATTCCCCTGCCTCTGGACTAAAAATATATCTATCTCTCCATGCATGCTTCCATCCAGAGAGGAATCTGGGCGGTTTTTAAAGACCTCCCAAGGAGTGACCACTGTGCCTGTGTGCACTCAAATCCACTTGTCATCCGCCTTATACACACGGTGTTTCTGGGCCACCAGAGGTGTGTGCGTCCAGAAAGGGTGCATATAACACAGAGGGGCCGTTTCAGGTGACAGCCTTTCTTCCTGGACTTCACACGAAGAGGCAGGCAAAGGCAAGGCAGGTGAGGGACGTGGGTGGGCTGGGGGGCAGGGAGCCTAGTTGGAGGCCTCACATGAGCACAGCCCCCGCACTGAGCATGCTCCCCCATACACGTGTGCCGCGCGTGCACCCAACCCCCAATCCCTGCAGCAGCAAAAGGCCCGGGCACTCTGCTTGTGGGGAGAGGGCAGAGGTCCCCAGGGCCAGACCTGGGGGCCAGGTCAGTGGTGACAATTGAGGAGGGGTTATCGAAGTCAGAGACTCCTGCTCGGTAACAGATGGGGGCAGTCCTTTGGCAGGGGTGCTCAAGTTGGTCGATTTATCCCAGCGGTGCCAGAGCGGCAGTGACTTGTGGGTGGGCAGGCTCCTTCCCTAGGGGAGACAAGTAATTCTCATGAGTCACACCACCCGAAATACATGCAAAGCTGCCTCCATCGCCTTTTGCTGCGGCCCGGATTGACAAGTTTGTTTGAAATCGCGATCCATGGGCTTTATTTATAATTGCACCTTAAAAAAATCTTGCAGGCCTCCCCTCCCCAGACAGCCAGCCGCTCAGCTGGTGGGGCTTTTGCAAGCAATGATACCTAGCTGCTATGTAGGGAGGAGTACTACCTGCCGCCCCAAGCTGCTCTCTCACCAAAGAATCCATGGGCTTTGGTGGCCCCAGTGGGAAGGGGGTAAGGGGCGGGGGGAGTGAGACGGAAGGAGTGGCCAGGCAGCCGGTGCCGGGCGCTCAGTCGACGAGCGGTGGCCTCCCGTTCACCCCCGGTGGACCCCCAGCCATGGAATTTCATTTATTAAATGTCGAGGAGGCTGCTGGCAGCCCTGCCGCTTGGCTGTCTTTGTTTCTCCGCTGTGTGGGCGCGTCTCGAGCACGTGGCAGCTGAGCGCGCAGGCGAAGCGCAAGCGACCTGGGTTCAGTGTCTACCGCCGCCTGGCAAAGAAAGAACCCGGCCGCCCAGGGGACAGCTCCCCACAATCGACAGCTCCCCACAACTCCCCCTGCCCTCGGACTCCTGGGCTTTGCTGGGGAAGAAGGATGACTCACTCTGCTTACCAACCCCCTGCAGCCCCACTCCCCATCTCCTGGTTGGCTCGGAGGCTACCTGGGAGTGGCCCCAGCGCGGACACACCGTCCAAACTTTGTTTCCCCCAGCCCCGTCACAGCCAAACTTCTGGGCCTGGGACTGGAGATAAAAGGGTTTCTGGATTCCCCCATGGAGATGTCACCACCCCAGGAAGCAGGACTGCTACAGTGGAATCACATACAAGGTTCGAAAGACAATTTAATAAGGAAACGCACTGGCATGCTCCCGGCCACTCCTAGATGCCCCTCCCCCGCGACAGCCCCCCTCCCCTACACCAGTTGCAGCCACGACACTCTGCTGACCCCTGGTGGTGCAGGCGGGCAGCGGTCCCGGGACGCCAGAGAAGCCAGCTGGCTCCTCCCAGGCGGGAGAAACGGGCGAGGCAGCCCGCTCCTCCCTCATCTCTTCCCGCCGGGGCCTGGCACCGCAGGGTGTGGAGGAGGAAGGAGAGAAGACCACACAAAGAAACCTGAGAGAGTTTGCAAGCTTTTGCTGGCACTTCCCACACAAATACTTCTTGGATTGTTGTTTTAAGTAGGGCCGGTGTGGAATCCCTTATTCCTGCCTTGTTTTGAGGTGGGCTCAAGAAGGCACCGTGCCTGGTCCCGCCACCTGTCTCGGCCCGCCTGGTTGGGGGAGGGAGGCGCTGTTTCCAGGGCAGTCATTATCCTTAGCTCAACCCAGGAGGTAGTATCTAGAGTCTCATTTTGAAGGGGAGTGGACCGAGAAAGTCGGAAAAATTAAGCAATTTGCTTTTTTAAGGTCAGGCAGTTGGAGGTATTCGAACTCTGGTCTCTCTGACATCACAGTCCCCTCCCTCCAGGGACTGGTCCAAGCCTCTTGGTCCTTCCAGGCCTTGCAATTGGCGCCGAGAGGCCAATTCAACTTTTACCACACCCTCTGCAGGGACCGTTCTGGAAGTACCTCTTCGCCCTGGGGTCATTCAGGAAGAAGACAGTCTCTGGAATCAGTCACTTCCCTTCCTGAGGGACCAGCTGGGTGGAGGAGCGAAGCTGCCACCTGCTGCTTTCTCTGTCCAACTTCACTCTGGTTCTTGCTGGGGACAGTGTGTCTGGGGGGAAGGACCGTCTTTCCCGCCTTACTGGACATTCTGTTTCCAATGACATGTGTGGGAAGATGGAGTTTAATTTTCTAACAGGGCAGGGAAGACTCCTCAGAAATGCTCCAGGGGCCAGACCCCTGGCTGCGCCAATGACCCCTGGTACTGATGCCCCACATCTTTCTCAGGAGTTTCCCCCCATCAGTCACTGTCTTCTGGGAATCCGGATCCTTCTTCAAGGCCCCTGGGACCCAAGCTCAATTCTGAAGATTACACCTCCACCGTCTCCCAAACGCTCGGACTAGGCCCGTGCCCCTCCTTCCCCAGCAAAAGGCAAAATGCCAGCGGGGCTGGTGCACCCCAGCCCACCTGGCGTCAGGGCCCTGCCCGCGTCTGGGCCAGGCCTGACTCCCCGCCCATTCTCCCACGGGATCCGGGGACAGTGCGGACCCTCTCCGGCCACCTGCCACCCCCAGTTTCACGAGGCGGACTACAAGCCCCATGATGCCGCGGGGCTGAGCTGACAAGCTCTACCCGGGGCGCCCGGTCCCCTTCCTCTCTCCCCATCATCCCCGTATCCCTCGCTGGCCGCTCGGGCTGAGGGCCGGGCTATGCAGCTGCGGGGAGCAGGGGGCTGCGGGCGCGCGTCCCTGCGGCGGCGTCCCCGGGGCCCGCGCCCCGTGCGCCCCCGCGCCCGCTGCGGGCGCCTGCTCCCTCCGTCGAGCCGCGTCTTTGTGTGCGGGGGTGTGGGAGGCGAGCGCGAGTCCGCGCCGCGCTGCCGAGTGCCCGCTCCCTCCCAGGGCGGGTGGGGGCCTCTCCGCGCCACCCGCCGCGCCGCGCGCTCGCGCAGGACCCCCGGATCGCCCGCGCCGCCCGCACCGCGCCGGCGCGCCTGCCCCGCCCGCCCGCCGCTCGCACATGCCCGAGCCGCGAGCCCCGCGAGACAAAGTCAGACGCCGGCCCCCCGCCCCGCGGCCCCGGGCCCCGGCTCCGGCGCCGTCCCTCCTCCCCGGCCGGGCGCCGCGGCCCCGGCATGAGGAGCGGGCGATGATCCCCGCCAACGCCTCCGCCAGGAAGGGGCCCGAGGGCAAATACCCGCTGCACTACCTCGTGTGGTACAACCGCCACCGCGAGCTGGAGAAGGAGGTCCGCGCCGGCCAGGTAGGAGCGCCGTCGGGTCGCCGCGGGGACCCCACGGCCAGGCACGCCCGTCCGGCCAGGGGAGGGGGTGCGGCGCGGGCTGTCCCGCCTCCCCGGCGAGTTTGCGGCGCGTCTTTGTTTGCGGCCGCGGCTTTTGTGCTTGTTGACCGGGAAAGGGTGATGGGAGCGGGCCCTGCCCACTCCCCTCTGGCCGGGACGGGCGGGACCACACGTGTTTCGGACCCTCCTGGATGGGGGTAGGGGCCACTGTGCCCCTCCTCCGCCGGGGCAGTGAGGGCTGCAGGGAGGGGCTGCGGGCTGGGTCGGTGTTCCATGTGGTGGGAGAGTCCGCCCCAGCCAGTGGAGCAGCGACACCTCCCGAATGAGGGTGCGGAGGTGGGAAAGGCTTGCGTGGAGAGGGGGCCATAGGTCAAGGATGGGGAAGAGGCTGTGTCACATTCCCAGGCATCCCAGCCCCACCCAGCGCCCTCTCCCCAACGGTGAGCGCTTTCTCTTTTAGCTCTCAAACTGAGCAGATCCTTGGATCCCTCAGACCCCAGCCCCAGCTCAGGAACGGGGAGTGGAGAAAGACCCTCTTGGGAGGCCCCAAGGGCCTTGTCCAGGTGCTGAAAAGCGCTCTCCTGCCCTCTGGTGCTGGGACCTGGCTTCTAGGCGCAGAGGAAGCTGGGGGGCCTTGGCTGCTGGAAGGACTTGAGGTTCTGCACACGAGGTGGGCTCCCTGGTTTCTGCTGGTCAGTAAGACCACGTGGGTCACCAGCTTTGGGCTGGGCAGTGGTCTCCAAGAAAACGGAAAAGGGGGATGTCTTCTGGCCATGCTTCAGGACAAAGGCAGGCACAGGTCACAGATTGCCACTTCTGCCCTTGGCACCCAGGCCACAGGTAGGCACTCATGGCAGAGATGCCCCCCCCTCCAGGGTGGGCAGCAGGAGCCAGAGCTGGGCCCAGGCCCCATGGGTTGCTGCAGGTTGAGAACCCCAGTTTCAGTCTGGGTCTGAGACCCTGGGACCATGGGCTGGGGGTGGTTAGCGCAGTTACCTGCTGTGGGAATTTACCTTCTGAGGGCCACTTCTTGAGTCAGGAGAAGTTCAGTCTGAGGAGCTGTGCAATCACCAAGGGAAGCATGGAGGTGGAGGGCAGGCCATCAGACTGAGCAGGCTGGGGATCAGAATGTGTCTCTGAAGTCCCACGCTGAACCAGCTCCGAGGCCTGTACGCCATCCAGCTCTGCATGGCAGTCCCTGTAAATATCCAAGTGACCTGTGCCTGCAAGCCTCTGGGCGGGTCTGGGTGACCACTTCCTGTTACCTGTGCTTATGCCAGCACTCTCCAAGTTTCTCCTTGGACTGAACTCCTCAGACTCTGTCTCTGTTTATTTATCATAAAGGCAGTGCTCTGCAGCCATGAGAGGCCTGTTAAAGAGAGTGGGTTACAGTGCCCCCGGGAAACAGATGAACAAACAGGGCACCAGCCCCTGCCCTCAAGGAGTCTCTGTTCTGGTGAAGCAAGTATGAACAGGGAATTCCAGGTGATGTGCAGAGTGCTAAGACAAGGCCAGCCACCCTCTGCTGGCTCTTCTCTGCTTTCCTTTTCTGAAAGCAAAAGAAGACAAGCTTCATGTGGGAAGAACTTCCCAGGGGTCCAGGGATCACTAGGCAAAATGCTGAATCTCCAGAATGCCTCAGTCCCACTCCCTTGCCTGAGGGTGGGTGGTCCTTTTACTGCAGAGATTGGAGAGAGGCAGAATGCCCTGGGAGAAAAGACTTCTCCAGCAGGCCTCTCTGCTGATAGTCCTGAAGTGGGTGGCCATCTTGCTGGGGTGGGGGGCACTGGAGCCGCTGCAGGTAGAGGTGTTGGGGGCTGCTCATGTGTTTCTCTCTCCTACCCCTCCGGCTGCCTCAGAAACAAGGTCCCAGGTTCACCCCTACCCCTGCCCCAGTGAGTTAATGTCTCCTTGAAATGGACACTGCCTGCCCTGGATGCAGGCCAGGGGGAATATAGGGCACTGGTGGAGGTTAACCCTTGTTCAACCACAGAGGAGCCAGGCCAGTCCTCTCCTTCCCTCGGGCGTGCCAAAAAGGGGAATGCCACTCTGTGTGGGTGGGAGACTTCCCTGGTTGTCTCCCCCTTCGAGGACTGGCCCAGAGTGAGGCTTGTATCCAGATGTACGCTGCCTACTCCCCAGGGCACCAGGCTCTGTTTTCTGCAGGGGGACCTGGGGACAGCCACCTAACATCATGATAAAAGCACTGTGGAACCCTGGCATCCCAGCCGGGGTCCCTGGCCTCTCGTCCCCCTGGTACTAGCCGCCACGGAAACAGCTCGGCTTTCCTCAAGCACTCAGAAACTGGGTTTCCCTGGTCTTGGCTTGGCAGAGCTGCCTCTTCTTCACTCCAGGAAAGCCCCGCAGAGGCCCTCTGTGGGCAGGCTTGGCAGTGCAGCTGGCTGAGGAGGGGGTCAGCATGGCCACCTTCAGAGGAGGTTAATGGGCTTCACTCAGGCCCTAATTGTTCTGCTGGAGGCTGGAAGCAGGGAGTGGTAGGCAGATAGGAGGTGCCTGGTGAAGGGAAGGGGCACCCAGCAGTGCTGTGATGCCGGCGCGGTGCCCTGCTTGCCGCCATGCGTGTTCCCTGCCAGGTCAAGGGGGACAGGGTTGTAGGCCAGGGAATGTGCCAGTTCCCCCTTGCCTGGCATGGCCAGCTGGGCATGGCCCTGGTTCTGGAGTCACGAGATCTGGAGTCCCTGGGGTGGGAGCAGGGGGAAGGGTTAGCCTGTGCAGCTCCCGTGGGAGGGACATGTGTAGGCTGGGCTTGGGGAGCAGGATTCTGCCCCTGGCAACCAGAACCCTGAAGTGGGCAGACTGTGGTCCCAGAGAAACATTTTCCTTCTCCCTGGGGCGTTCTCCACCATGGGCTTGCTTCCTGCTTTCCCTGTTCACTCTTCTGACCTAGAGGCAGGGGAGATGGGTTGTGGGGCCCGGGATGGGCGGGGAGCACCTCAGACCCCTCCCTTTGCCTACAGTGGGCAGTCCTGGATATGGGGCATCACCACAGTTGGTAAGCTAGGAAGCTCAGGAGAGGGAGCCGCAAACCCCAGAAACCAAAAATCAATGTGTTCTGGGATGAGGGGTAGGGGCTGCACGGGCAGGATGGGAGGGGCGACATGGAGGGAGAAGTCCAGGGTGCAGCCCCCACAGCCCATGGCCTCCTACGCAGCTTGAGGACACATCCTGCCTGCCTCCCCTTGAATGAGCTCAGGCAGACCTGCCCCGCCCCCCACGTTGGGCAAGAGAGGTCAAGTAACGACCACACCAGACTCCTGCTTTCCTCCCGGTGGGCTGGGGAAGGGGCTAAGCAGGCATGGCCTTGAGCACAGGCTCTGCGTCCCTCACCTTCCTTGCAAGCACCATGTTTAGTCCATACATTAGGTGTATGCTTTTCGTACTTCCCTTAACCAAAGGATTCTGCTCATGCGAAAGGAGTTTGGAAAGTACCCTGCTAGTGCACGTGGGTGTGAGGGGTGTTCCTGTGCAAATATGCTGGCAGCGCACACACTCGTTACACAGGAGTGGACTCCTGCAGGGCCAGAAGGCAGCTGGGCACGCGTGTGCTTGTACACTTAAGGGCACACGTGAGTACCTATGAGCGAATGGGTGTGTATTTGTATGGTACCTGTGTGTACTAGCGTGTGGGATGTGTGCCTGAGTGGAGGCCGGGGGGCTTTCTGCCCAGGGAGCCCCAGTTACGAAACTCCAAAGACCCCAGGTTTTGACACCAGCTGAGGCCTGCTGGGATAAGGAATCTCCATTCTCTTGGTGGGGAGGGCTGGGTGTTGGGTTTCATGGGAAACCTTTTCATTCCAGCAATTAAATAGCTAGAGGCCTCTGCTGAGGAGAAGCTGGAGGCCTCTGCTGAGGAGATTAATGAATTCTCCTACCTGGGTCCAGGGCAAGGTGCCACTTGCACTGCAGGTGGCACTCTGGGCTTGTGGGGAGAGCTGCTCTGGGGCTTGGCTGAGTGCCTGGGGTTCTGCATGGGGTGCATGGGGTGCTGAGCCATCCAGGCCTCCCTGGGGAGGCGCGCTGGGGAGCACTCCTGAGATGTGGGGCTGGGGAGGGGCACCATGCCTGCAAGGGAGTGCCATCCTGTCTCTGGGGCCTGGAGCTGAGGCACCTGAGTGGGAGGGAGGCAGCATCTGGAGCCCTGAGGCGAGGCAGGGGCCCTGCCAGCTCCCTAGGGCCTTATTAGCTGCAGTGGCTGCGGCATGTGGGGCAGGGCTGGGAGGCCTGGATGGCTCAGCACAGCGCCATCGGGAGGCTCCGGACTTCCCCAGTCAGCTCGGGTCCTGTGGCCCTCTCCCACTCCCTCTGCAGGGCTCAAGACCCCACCCAGATTGCAAGCCCGGGGGTCTAGCCCAACCAAGACAGGACAAGAGTAAACAGTGCTCCCCTTCTCTGTGGGGGGCCACAGCTCAGAGGCCAACAGGGGCCAGGCCCACTGGTTTTTTTGAGGCTCCCAGTATATTGAAAAATGAAGAAATGTCAGAACAAGGCTATAAAAATTATATAAATAATCTTAAATTATTTAAAATGTTTCATTTTTGACAAAGGAGTTCACACAGTCATGCTTTAAAATATGTAACTGTTGATAGAAGATGCGTAATGAAAAGCGCTGCTCCTTGCTCCGCCTCTCCCACCTCCCCAGAGGGACTACTTCAAACACTCCTGTCATTTACCTCCCTAATTATAAACAATTATAGTTCCACCCCCTGCCGCCTTCCCCT